ATGCTGATCCCTCTATTATGAAGTATTGTAACTAAAAGAAGCATTTTTATTTATTGATTTTATTCACTTTCAGTAGGCTTCCAAGTAGCATGCCAATGATAAGAGATTTATGTATTTCTTTTTACCATTCAAAGAAGCCCGTCTTGACTTATCTTTGTCACATATGCTATTTGATGATAACTATATTGTTGGATTATAGAAATGGCTCGATTTACCCTGTTTGCCGTCCTGGCTGTCTTGTTTATCAGCAATACTTCAGCGTTTCTCTTCGGAGCTGGTGGTGGCGGCGGCGGTGGTTGCGGATGTGCACCACCACCACCATCATGCGGATGTGGAGGAGGAGGGTGAGTGGAGCGGTCATTTCAAGTTGCTGGAAACTCAGAAAATGCAATTATAATGATAAATTTCAGCGGTGCACCCATGCTTCCTCAGCTTCCACCCATTTCACTGCCATCGCTCCCCAGCGGAGGCGGCGGTGGCTGCGGATGTGCTCCACCACCATCACCATGCGGATGCGGAGGAAAGTAGTCCGATTGCAACATCGATCACTTCTTTATGTCTGTACATTTCGCATAAAATATTACCACAGATTATTTATTATATATTATTTATTTATTTTTCAAATAAATACATATTTCTCATTGGAGCCCTTTCACAGCCCAGCCAAAATTGAAAAATAGATACATCTCAATGACGCAATGGCGTATACATAAAGCGTGAACACCGGACCTGGTAAGGGATGTTGAGATTGTAAGATTGTAGTTTGATGTGTTAGGATTGTAAGGCCACCAGGTTTATAAACACAGATTTACGAATTGGTCTAAAGCGACGGACAAAGCGGTTAAAAATCCTCCTATTCCATTATGAAATCCCACGGGTACTGTATGTGCATTTCACAGCAGCACTCGCTAGGAGCTTGTTGAGTTCAACAAATACTTAAAAAGAAGGTCGCATAGTACAGCTCACAAAAAAGGGTTTCTCATAATGCGTTGATCATTCCATTTAATTTGGGTAACAGTGGGAAAAGCTCAAAAACTTGTAAATCTCAAACTTATCTCTCATCTCCAATCTGGACTTCCGGGTGGAGCTGCCACTGAAGTAGTCTGATTCCTAACTACGCCATTTTGCATCTGGTATCAGCTGGCCGGTTAGTGCAAGATGCAGCAGGCTCAAAACAGAGATGTGGTATGTTAGTTTGTGAAGAGGAGTTGCGCAACACTCTTGTCCAAAATTTTCTTTTTCTGAAAAATTTGATAGTGTATACATTGATGACTGAGCCGCAAATCAATTGAGCATACTTCAATGGATTCATGGGTGTTTCTTTTTTTGTTGGTGTGGCTTCAATCCACGAGGTGGATATAAGTTCTGCAGTCAGTAGTTATCCAAGAAAATTCAAAAAATCTCGACCACTAGCAAATCCGTACTCCGAGTCACTGTCTAGTACAAATGTCTACAAAACCATGGATTCGTGTCAACGACTGACACTATCTGCAATAGCTTCTAATGGCATGCCGTTCAGCGATACAGCGTGTTTCACCTTTACCAGCGCTTCCGATCTTTTGATATTTTTATAAGAAGCCAGCAGCATCCCTCACACTCCATTACAGGTAGGGCTCTTACAGAAGCTCCACTACATACCCTTCGTTATGGGCACCATTGTGTAGGCAGTGGCCTAGGTTGTGAAGTACCAGAAGCTGGCCGAGGTAGCTCGTCAAGAGCCCTCGTACCGCGACAATATTCATTTCTTTCATGACATTGCGAATCACCATGATCCGAAATGAGCCCGGTAAGAAATTCTGGAGTTGCGGCAAGATTTCTTTCCTCTCTTAGCGTAATCCCCTGGTCGAGCTGTAAATAAGTGCTACCTATCCTGGACCTTTAATCATCATCTTTATAACGAAATAATCAGACGATCAACTCCAACTCGAAAGTGAGGTCGCCTCCTTTCTCGACTCGCACTCCGCTGGGTTTTGGCAGAGGAGGATCAAGAAATTTTCTGAGCGATGGAGACAAGTGGTGGACACTCATGGTAGATATAAGACCGGTCAGAAGTTGTAACCAAAAAAGATAAAATTAAAATCAAAAATTTGAAAAAGTGTTGCAGGACTTTCTTTCCAACCTAATAACTTCGTTTAGATGTCCTGTCATGCGTCATGTTTACCTTCAAGAATCTACTAACCTTTAGTCGCTCCATACGCTGCACCTCGACATATTGTCGGCTGTACAGATGTAAGGGCATAAGCGATGTCGTTGCCATAAGTGCCGCCACTTCCCGTGGGCACAGTTTGACGATCATATTTCGTACGGTTTCTCGCCCAGGCCACTCACTCCTTCACTTCTTCACTATTTCGGCATCAAACTGATAAGTTGGTGTCAGATTTGTCTGATCTAAGAGGATAAAAACACTGGCATGCACATCGGCTTACCCTTCCCCCCCCCCTCACCGAATTATTGCAGAGGCCGTATAGTCAAATGCCATTGCCATCCAGAATGGCGCTCCCCAAAAGAGATTGATCGAGCTTTATCCTTCATCTTCTTAATAAATATGTGATGACAGCACCGACAAAGCGAGCTGCGCCCAGAAGTATACTGGTGTATGGGGTGGTAGACAGTGAATGAAAACCTAATATCAGCTTTTTGATTTTCATATATTCTGGAACTGCAACGTAAGAGTGGAAAACTGAATGCGAATCAGGCTGTAGTATAGTTGTAGCATGTTAGCATTGCGATGCTTCGAAACTAAAGGCATTCAAAACCACGAAGTATTCTCTTTTAATACATTGTCGGTATGGGTGAATGAAACCGTTCGTGCAAAAAAGGGGCGATGGGAATGCTGTCGTAGGCACGAACTACTGCACCAATATGCCCCCTCAGGCTACGAAAATGCCGCCAATCATCCTCGAATTCAACATTTCGGATTCATCTGATTGGGTGGTACCTCCGGCGCAAATGCTAACAGACATTCTCTCTAAAACTGTGGGCAACTTCGTGCCAAGCATTTACAAGCTAGCAGTCGCTGAAGCACACCCTATCTGTGACCAACTGTATCATATGCGGACGAATGATTTTCAGGATGGGAGCATAATATGCGTACAGTGGAATTAGATGTCACTGCCTGTTGGCCGAACACTCACGCGCTCTCGTTAGCCAATCAGCGCTCCGTGTGTTTATCGCGTCCTGACCCGCCTGATGGTTGCTCTCTCCCAGCCTCCATCATACGACTGCATACACAGGAGTGGCCAAAAAAGTTACTTTTCGCATGGCACACATCCTCAAGCCCTTCTCCAAACAGGATGCCGCTGCTAATGATAGAATGTGACTTATTTGCGGTCAGCGTCGAACTCAAGAAGGTCTACTGATGAATAGCTTCCTAGAAACAGTAGCTCTGACTGTGCCAGGACCTTCGACCACAGTTTCAGATTACGTCGTGATAGCCCACGATCCTTCGAAGACCTCGTTGAGTTCAAGTCCTGCATCATGTCCCGTGGGAAATTCTTCTGATCTCGTCGATGCAGAAGGCTATTATGACCTTGATGACTCATGAAAAGGAATGTTCTCTTTAGCACTCAGCTGGGTGCATTCAGTTTGAATTAAGCAAATGAGTAATTGATCCGTTTTGAATATGGAAGGTTATTGCTGTTTGGCCTGCCTTAGAACAAGTATGAGCATCATAAATGAAGACCGAGAACCATGTAAGCGGTAACTAACAATAAGAACAGGTCGTGAAATCGCATAAATTGCCCGTTATAAACACAGCTTTGATTTCACAAGTGTTTGTGGTTACTGCATCGCGCACTGAACATCAGCGTCCCCTCCTACCCCATTTTCCGTCAGCCCTCTTTTGGTCAAAAACGATACACAGCCTTAGGCACACTTAGCGAACTTCCATAGTTCAGGCAATATATTAGGTCGTGAAGAAAGTTCTTGCGCTTTTCGACCTTGATTTTCAAATGCCTGTATCTCGGCTCATTCGAAACCTTTTTGATTGGAGTAAAGACTGTTAGAATCCACAAACCTCTGCCAATAATAGCTGCGTTGAATCAGCCCGGTAGTGCAGAATACTGGAGCTCTAGAGACGATGAACCCGGCGGAGGTCGTTTCCGCATCATGTTGGTTTTTGAAGCATAACTCTTTGGAGAAGCTATCCAGGTAGTCGAGAAAGTGACAAATTATAGGCAAAAGGTCTACCGAGTAGGATGTTCGCAGGACTAATTCGTAGCCAATCTTGTCCAACTTCTGCAGGGTTGGTTGTGGAATGTGCGTCCGAGCTACCTGTCAGTTTGGTTCAACCAAAGTGCACCAGTTTGGATTTTGAGTTCTCTTAATCTTGATAGACGATATCAGCAAATTTGTATTCGCTCAAAAAGCACGTTGCATTGCAATCAATGATCGAAATAATCAGGTTTAGATGTTAATTATTCACTGCGCACCGTGTGACAGTCCTTGGCAGTGAACAGCTGCCTTCGGACCGTCACAGTTACACCAATACAAACAGTAATTGAACCCAGTTGTCAATTATGAAAGTCTATGAATGTTCTTTTGTTCATGATCTCCACCCGTAGTTTGAATTCCGTTGAAGCTGCTAATCTTCACCCAAGGTATGCATTACCCCTTACCTTTTACCCAGGGTAATTCCATCTTGGGATGCTTCAATCCCGTAGCTGAATATTCGATTGTCTACCACCGCCAACGAGGCCTCTACATCACGAGCAGCTAGCTAGTTGGAGGCTCCAAAAATTTTTTAACCCTTATCCAAAATAAGGAAGATTTAGTAGATGGAGATGATAGTGCGGGGAAGGGTCGAAGAAAGGCATAAAAAACACAACGTAACTGATAACTACTCATATTTTCATAAAATTAAGCTTCGCAGAAAATGTCGCATATTTATTAGAAAAAATATAAAAGTGAAAAGTAATACCTGTGATGCATGAGAAATATATTATGTAAAATATGTTTACAAAATATTTTTGCCTTACAATGTGTTACATGCAAAAATATTATTACTCGTCAATATCTCTGAAAGCAGCGAAGAGGTTGTCCATTTTCTTGCACAATGTGCTTCCTTTTAATCTTGCGTAATTCAGTGTTGTGAATGGCACATGAACTTGTTCGTCATACTGAAAAGTAATCAAATAATTAGTCACAAACACAGGGTTAGGCAGTATCCAAACAGTTCGAAGCCTAACTGCTGTTACAGTTGAACTAAGCGATAGAATGGAATGTGCCCCTTAGGATCACCATAGAGGCGAATGGATGATCAAAACATATTTTCGGAGCATTTTCGAGCTGAGAAGTAACTACTACACCACAGAAATTCTCATATAAATTATGAGACAAACAAAAAACGCAAAAATCTGGCCCTAAAGCCCTGGCTGCGCTTGAAAACGGTTTCATCGATCCCAGAAAAGCACAAGGAAAAGATGAAGACAACTGCTGGAAAAGTCAGAAGCAATTAGCTAAAAGCACCTGTCGCTGCACTTTCTGTCGCTTATTTCCCCTCACCTCCAATAAAGAGCCCCTGCGATTGTGGATGATACCAGGGTTTCGCTCAGACAGCTTCACGAGGATATTTTTTTTGAAATTTCATATTACGCAAATGGCATTTAAACTAGTAAAGATATTATTGAGCGGAGATCAAAACAAGAGAGGATATTCTAGTTTCCGTTCCGCACGTGCCCTTGGAAGTTGAAGTTTGGTTGTGGAAGAAAGTGGGTTTATTGAGAATTTCAACGAAATTGTCACGAGCATGGGTAAGCAAAATTGAGGGCACACCTAGTTCGTTTCTTTGACCATGTTACCCCAACCCCTTCCCCCCATCCCCCTCGCTCGAGCGCGGTGAGTTTGCCTGCTGGTCTGAAAATTGAATAATGCAACAGCAGTTACGATGGTTAGGTGCTGGGAGGAGGTGCAATTCTTCCAGCGTGGTGTTGGTGGTGGATCTTATCAGAACCCCATGAAGGGAGGAGGAGTAAAAATTTTCCAAGTCGGTCGAGCGTGACTGTTGACGCTAATAGTGCTTGGACTTTCGGTCATGAGACAAACACTGCGGAAACGACCACTTTTCCTGGCCAGTCGACTCGGCTTATTCAACCACTTTTGCGTCACGTTGGCTAGGTAGCTTTGGCGTTTGTCCAAGACTGTTTACCTGACAACAAGAATTCAAAAAAAAATCACAATCGATTCATTGTGTTCACTTGTTTTGAATTAAGGAATGTTGATGACAGCTCATGATTTTTGTGGGGAAATGGAAAATGGTGAAAGAAAAGAAAAAGGAGAAGTTGGAGAAATGTTCGACTAGCGCTTTTCCACAGAGCACTCAAGCATGAACGAATAGGAATCCGAACGAAAACATACACAGGGAGGCCAATTAAAAAAGACATTTTGACTATGTCGCACTTCAGCGTTTTTTTTTTTCGTCGCAGAGATTGTCGTCGTTGACGGAAGTTCCTCAGCAAAATATTCCTCAAATGTCCCTCTATTAGTAGACGCAAGCCCTCCTTCACTGCCCTCACCGTCTTCAGAATATATGACGTCATCGTGGTCGAGCTCACGGGGACCTACAGTAAATGCTTCAGCCTGAAGCTCTTACTTAATTTCTTCAATCGATTCATCGTTGGATAGTTCCTAGAAGACATTTAGCTATTGA